CAAATTTATTTATTTATTTATTTATTTATTTTGTTTAAATTAGTTATTACCCAAAATTAAGATTATTTATTTAATCTATAATAAATATTATATATAAAACATTTTTTAATTATTAAATGGGGTGACTTGAGTTTTTCTTAACTCATTTTACTAATTGGGACGGGGTGGGTTGACTTGCTTTTTGGCAAGTCAAGGACGAGTTAGGCACATTGATCAGTTTTGTCATCTCTACTTCCAATAACTGTATTTTATTCATAAGAATTATTCAAGATATTACTTATAAATTATTAATATTATAAATATAATCATTTTTTATCTAAAGCATAGTTATAAAATAATAAAATATATTCATCATTTCACATTTTTAAATTACAAAATATTTAAATTTAAGATAAATTAAATTATTTCGAATTTAAAAAAAAATCTCATATAATTTTATAATTTATTAAATAAAATAAGAAATATTCATAAAACTATATCTAACTTGAACACTTACATTTTTTTTCTATTTTTTATTTTAAAACAATTAGCTATGTTATTTTAATATATAAAATTAATTGTACAAACAAATATATTTTTAACATATGAATAAACGAGAGTAATTCGTGCAAATGCATGAGTTTCTTTCTAGTTATAGTATAAAACTCATAACATTAACGATTCATAACACACCATAGGATAATTATCAAATGCAAGATGCACCGACACTTTTAGTTCTAAATGCATGTGGCACAACAAGACTCAACTTTATACAATAATATCTCATCACTAAAATCAATTTTATACACATGATGCATATTACACAACAAGACTCAACACAAGCATACAATATTGCATGTTCACTTTCATAGTGTTCCATAGTATCACTTTATCCCGACTAAGCACGTATGCCTAGACTTCACCACACTTGTTGTAATCACATGTTTCATAAAATAGAAAATCACAATATTGCTAGTTGTTATAGTACTCTTAACCTCATTCGACATTTCCTTAGACACAATTATCATAATACAACCTCAAAGACTCATTAGTTTGACTCACCTCACAAAAATAACTCCTTTCACGCACAAAGTCACACTTGACGAGGCTCACCTCATGCCTAGCACCATCCCACAAAAGAGCAACCTTTGCTCTCTAAAGGTCTCTTGCTCGACATGGTCATACCCACACTCAACGTCATAGCCATTGGGAGTCCCTAGAGCTCTCTCGCTCAACATGACCAACATCATGCTCGATGGTTGAGCTACAAATAGCAACTTGTGATCTTTAAAGCCTTCACACTCGACATGACCTCTTTAGCTCTTGACATCAACGTCCCCACGCCTGACACAATAGTAGTTTCACGCCCTCTTGCAGAAACTACAAAAATTGCCCAAATCACCAATTTTCATTCTTAATTCATTTTCAATTATTAGTTATATCAGTCAATCTTTGTTATGCACTATAAAATTGGGGTTTCCATAATAACCTAAGGGTTATCTACAAGAAATAAAATCAATATCCAAAACAATCAATCACACAATATAGAGCACATACTAGCAACCAAAATAGTAAATCCAAGACAAACTATTGAAAGTAAACAAAACACAAGCAATTAAGGGGACTCTTAAGGTCCATTGCACAACAACAAAGAACAACCAAACAACGAGATTAAGGATCAATACCGCTACTCAATAGTTATCCCACACCCATGAGCGAAATAGCTCACTCCTCTTTACCTCGATAAACATCTGACGAGGAAAGGGATCTTCAAGGTAGTTCCTTCTTGCAACTCCAACAATATTCTCTGAAAGTGTCTTTGAGATTAGAGAAAAAAAAAACAAGAAGTGTATAACATAGAAGTGAAAAATGATGGGTTAACCTCCCTAACTTAACCATAGCTTTTCGGGTTAAAGAAACTAATATATAGGGTCAAAATATTTTTTTGTTAATTAGAATAAACATAATCCCAAAATAAAACATTCTATACATGCAATTATATTTTCACAAAATCGTTCTTAATTTTTATAAAAAATCATTTAATTAATTTTCAAAAGTACATAATATTATTTAGGAAACTAGGGTGTTACAATTTTCTCATGTTAAAAACAAGTCCTTATTTTAATATTAAATAATACTAATTACATGTTCTGTCCCATAATAACAACACTTTTAACATTTAGAAAATGTCTCAAAATGAATGATATTTTAACTTCTCACATTTCAATGTAATATTAATTATTTTTTTCTCTAGTTTATCCCTTCATAAATTATTCAATTACCACAATTAAAAGAAACGTGTTTATTAAGAAAATGAGTTATTTTAGTAAAATTATATAAAACAAAAATGATACATTTATTGTTATCCTTAATCTGAATGTAAAAACCTTAAACTGCAGTTATTGTGAAATGGATGAAATATATTTCAAGAAATCAATCTTTTATTTGTTTTGGTCATTTTTATAAGACTCAATTAGCTAATTTATTATGAGGAATTGTTCGTTAATTAGCTAATAACGATAAGTTTATCTTAAATTTATATATTTTTTTCATTTAAAACTACCTTTAACATTAACAAGATTCTTACTCTACCATTTACCAACTATTTATTGAATTAAGAGAAAATAATTTTTTAAGAGTATTTATTGAAAAAATATTAATGCAAGAGACATTTTAGGTTGATTTTTTTTTGTCCATGGACATGATTTATGTATTGTTCCAAAGTTGACAACTAATAACAAAATAACCTTTTTATTTGAGTCTTATAAAATAAAAGGCCAAATACATTTTAAAAAGCACTCTAAAAGTAAAAGAAAAATTGCACTCATACTTTTTTATTAGTAGAAATTACAATGATGTCAACAAGGTTCAAACTTATGACCATGTACATATTATTTCAATTCCTCCATTCATATACACAGGCTTTGCATAACAACGAAAAAAAAAAATATGATACCAAATTATCAAATAATTGCTTATATTTTAAAAACTATTTCAAGAAATTAATAAAAGTGAACAACTTTTTCTTAAAAATAATTGAAATTAGTTTTTAAATTAAATTAAATTAAATTAACGTTCATTTAGGATTCCTAATAGTGAGAATTGAAATAATATGCACAAAATCAAAATCATAGGTTGGAATCTTATTATTATCCTTATAACAGTTTATTGATAAATAAAAAAACTTATGTTCAATTAGAAAATGATTACAATTCAACGGGAAATCATCGTTCATAACTAAAATAATTATTATAAGTTCGATATGTATAAAGGAAAAAGACAAATGTTTGAATCTTCGATAAATGAACCTTCACCAATGGTTCGACACTCTCAATAGTAGAATCCCTTGCTCCTAGTTTGGTTCCCTCCATAGTCGAACCCCTTGTTCATGTTTCGGCTTCAATATTTGAACCACACAACCGATGCTTTGAATCCAAGCAATCGAACCCACATTTAAGATGATCAAATAGTCAAAGCCCCCCTCATCAACACAATTGAAAAAATTGGATAATCAAGACCATCAACACACTCGACTATCATTAGAGATCTATTACCTAATTGGTAATAGGAGATAAATGCTTGTAAATTCAAGATTCATCATGATATGTCTAAATAGAATGACAAATATTGAGATAAAATTACTATCCGCTAATTTATTATTGACATTTATTGCTTTAAGTCAAAATGTCTCTTATATATATACTCATTCTTTGGATCAATTGTTAATTATTTACATGTTAAAAAAAGTTAAGAGCGCAAAAAATAACATGAGAAAATTACCCCAAATTATAAGATAAGTACATATAGAAATATTAATATAAAAATTAATTATAAATTTAACAAAAACATCATGCGAATATTTTTCTTTAATTTAAAATAGTGCATAAATTATAAAAAAAAATAAAACATATATATTTTTTAACCAATGTTGTAAAGATAGTGTATTAAAGGAAAAATAGAAGTAATGTTCTAAAAACACACAATGAAATGAAAGGAAAGAAAGAAAAGGCAACGCAGGCATGCATTTAATAAAATAGAGAAAAGCATTTTGATTTTTGTGAGAGTGGATCCCGATTTGCGCGGTTCCTCTTTGAAACGAAGATATCCAACGGTTGAGAATTGGGTCTCCGTTTGACCCACAGAACATGTTCCATCTTTAACCACTATATAACATTTTCCTTTCTTCCATTGCATTGCATTGCATTGCATTACCATTCATTTCGTTTCCCTTCTTCGCCCCCTTTTCTGTTTGCGTCGTTCTGATCTCTCTCTGCCACCATGTCCGCTGAGAAAGAGAGAGACACCCAGGTTTACTTGGCCAAGCTTGCCGAACAGGCCGAGAGATATGAAGGTTTTCTTTTTAATCTCTCTCTTTTTTCCTTCTTTGTTGGATCTTTTTCGGGCTTCTCTTGGATTGGGGATGTAAAAGATTTCATTTTGAGAAGTGGGGTTTGATTTATTTTATTTTATTTTATTTTGTGGATCGGATTGTTTTCCCCGTGTTGGCCCTCTTTTTTTGTTGATTGGTGTTTTGTTTGGATTGTTAGATTTGACTTGTGATTGTTTTTTTGGTGTGGCATTGTTGTGGATTTGACATGGATTTGATGTTTTGATTTGGGGGGGATTAAGAGGGGAAAAGGCAGGGTTGTTTGGTTTTTCTTTTGAAAAAAATGCTAGTTTTCACAATGTAAGTAGAGGTTGAAGATGAAAACAGAAGAAGATGATGAGAAAATATCTCAAGCTGTTTTTGGTTTTTAGAATACTTATTTTGAAGCAATTTTTCAAAAGTTGATAGATTTTGGATGAAAAATTGATTGTTGGGTAGTGTGAAATTGTTTTAGATTTTGGATGAGAATTTGATTGTTGAGAAGTGTGGAATTGTTTTAGAAAATAGTTTTTAAAATAAAATAAAATAAAATTGAGAAGGGAATCAAATGGGCCCTAAGTTACCAATGTGTTGTCATGGGGCCTATGAGTGAGACTGTTTAACTCGTGATTCATTTTGTCGTGAGAGTGAATCAGAGAATGAAACGCTGTCTTTTTCTTTTTGCTCTTGAACCTGTTCACCTCTATTTGATAAATTGTATTTGGCATTGCTACCCTTTTAATGGCAAGAGTAGGATATGAATATGCTTCATTTTATTTCTTTTACCTTTTGAGAATCATCTTGTCTGATTAGGTGAAGATTAATTTGTTGAAGTTTATTTAGTTAATTTTGTCTGACTTTGGACCTGGGAAGAGAAAGCCTGTTTTATGCTCATAATTTACATCATGTGAGCTTAATTTTGTGCGTTTAAAAAAAATGTTGTTGCATAATGCATAGTGTTTACAAAATACAGAAAAATAATGTTTTCATCTATGTAGTCAATTTCACCTGGTGGGGAAAGGCTTGGTTGCTGTTGTTTTTGTTGAATCAAGATTATGATATCCATCTGAAACCTAATATTTATCATGCAGAAATGGTTGAGTGCATGAAGAAAGTAGCAAAACTTGATCTTGATCTAACTGTGGAAGAAAGGAACCTCCTCTCAGTGGGATACAAAAATGTCATTGGAGCACGAAGGGCCTCTTGGCGCATCATGTCCTCAATTGAGCAGAAGGAAGAGTCTAAGGGAAATGAGCACAATGTTAAACTCATCAAGAGTTACTGCCAAAAGGTTGAGGAGGAACTCTCCAAAATTTGTGGTGACATTCTGACTATTATTGAGCAGCACCTGATCCCCTCTTCCACATCAGCAGAAGCTAATGTTTTCTACTATAAGATGTGAGTCATATTGCTACACTACTGTTCTACTTGCTTGATTAACTTCATTCCTTTTCAATGTAGCTAAACCCATTTTCTCTGTTGAATAATTTCTTCCATTCTGCAGATATAATTGTATTTTCCAATAAAAGTCAAAACATCAGGATAAATATGGGAAGCACAGAATATGTATAAATATAATGATTTGAATACTTTTTCTTTGTGGTTCATGTACCGTTTGTCCACATGATGGGTGGAGCACCCTTAGCTTGAGTTATTCTGGGCTCTACAGAGACTCCAATGCTATTAATGAGTCATTGATTTGTGTGTTTAAGTTCCACTCATCATTATGGTTACCGCATACTTTGCTTTGCTATCCTTAATTTCCTTATGCTCCTTTGATTCAGGAAAGGTGATTATTTTCGGTATCTTGCCGAGTTCAAGACTGACCAAGAAAGGAAAGAGGCTGCTGAGAATTCACTGAAAGGATACGAGGTATGTGTTTGATCTCTTGTATTTCAGCACTGAACTAGTTCATAAATGTATTTTTTTATTTATGTTGTACATTCTACTGTCATCTGATTTACACATTTTTTTTTTAATTATTAGGCTGCTTCAGCCACTGCCAACACAGATCTTCCATCAACACATCCAATCCGTCTTGGACTTGCTCTCAATTTCTCTGTCTTTTATTATGAGATAATGAACTCTCCTGAAAGGTAAGTTACTGGTTCTCTCATTCTACATGAGACCATTGAATTGTTTTTGATGCCACAGCTCATCTGAATGTCATTACTGAAAAACTTACAGGGCCTGCCATTTGGCTAAACAAGCTTTTGATGAGGCAATTGCGGAGTTGGACACTCTGAGTGAAGAGTCATACAAGGATAGCACTTTGATCATGCAGTTGTTGAGAGACAACCTGACCCTGTGGACCTCAGATTTGCCAGAGGATGGAGGTACTGGAAATGGTTGAAGTTTGATATAAAATTCATTTGGCTGCGTAAATCAATATTACTAGTACCATGTGTTGCTGAATAATGATGTCCAAAGCATTCAAGTGGCTGATGTACAATTTGTACAATATCATTGAAACAGTTACTTTCACTTACTTTCACGTACTTTGTGCCCCTCTTGAGTCTCAACCTTGTCAGAAATCAAATTAGGATGAATAGAAAGAAGGGAAAAAAAACTGCATACTCTTGGATTTATTATCATGAAGATCAAAGTCATTGTTTCTTGAGTGGTCTCTTCAGCTGAATCACTCATAGTTAATTGTATAATTATGTTTCTTGATATTTGGTTTATACTATAGTTGGAACTACTCTAAAGTTGATACTCACATGCAGGTGAGGACGGCATAAAAGCTGAAGAAGCCAAACCTACTGAGCCTGAGGTGTGTGCATAATAGTTTTTTTTTTTTGGCTATGTTTACATGATTTTTTGTGAAATGTGTGAAGAGACTTTAATATTGTAGTAGTTAAGTTTTAATAATCAATAATGTAGAAAATAACTGAATTTGTGTACAAAAATATCACAATATTTCCACTTTGTGGTTTCAAGTATTTGTGCAAGAAGCATTTTCTGAAACCAAATGTCCTTATTTTCCTTACTCATTGTTTATAAAGAAGGTTCTTTATTCTGACATTCTTCTACTTATGCAGAATTGATCATGATTCGGTAGTCAGAAATCTAAGGTACTCTCAAAGAGGGCATTTTTCAGCTTTTCTTGCAATGGATTTGGACCAGACAATACCAACTGTGCCCATTTCATAATTCTTGTGATCTCTTAATATCCCCTTCCCAAGCCAGAAGATCTGCCCCTGTTCTTTCTTTTTCCTTCAAACTTTTTTTCCCTTTCTTTTTATTGCCTTATCTGTTTCAAGTAAAGTGGTCAGTTGAAGCAATGAACAATTTACATTTACCTTATAAGCATCTCATTCCTTCGTTATCTGTGTTTGGATTTATTTTACTTTGTTGCCTATGTACTTCTAGATGTACAAAACATACAACAACCGTTTAGAAATTGTGCTGTCTCCTGATCTGAAGAAGATTGCACCTTGAAAATCAATCTCAGGTCCCAATAAGTAGTTTTGTTCATACAAATTAAACGGATTAATAAACAATCTAGACACATTAATAAACAATACAAACGAATACTCAACAAAATTAAATGTTGGGTAAGTTCCAAATGTAAGTGTACAAAAAGGTTCGATGATAGAAAATGTGCACTGAGTAAGGTCTAAGCAATAACGTAACACGATAATGGCTGAATAAAAGTAAATAAGGATCAAAAGTAAGTATGCAACGAGCAAAATTCAATAAAGTAAATAAGTATGCATGGAGCAAAATGCTGAAGTATGAAGATAAATATGCATAAAATAAAGAAGTGCTTAAGTTTTGGCACATTTCAAAAATAATTTCGAGAATTGATGATAATATTTTGACACTAAATGGTTACAACTTGGACCAGGAAGCGTCGTCCACGAAACGTGACCCTTTCAAACTTTTATCACTTGCTTCTATTAAGCCACAAATTCAATGGTTTACAAAAATAATTCTGGTCAAGTATATCTTTTCATAAGAATTTTGCAAATAAGTCAACAGTAGAAGAAACTGGAACTAATTCTTAGCCATTCTTTATCACCTTGCAGCTGCATCTGCAGAATCTAAATCTAATTAAGCTAGAATTTATTTATTTTTCTTAATAAACAAGGACTATAATCATCTACTAAAAGTGAAGATTAAAAACAGTTATTCACTATATATATTTTTTATAATACATATTTGATTAAATTGATAAATGATAGACAAATTTAGAAACTACGGTTATGATGTTTGTTTAATTCAGGTATAAATTGATAGGTGTTTGATAATTCTAATTTCTTCTTTGGTTGCCTTATACCACAAACCACCGACGGGTGACACATACTCTTGTTTACTAATTTATGGTCAATAATAGATATACTTGATCAGAATTATGTTATAGAAAGTGAAATTTTTTTTTATCACTTTCGAAATTTAAGTTCTGAAATGTAATAATAAAATTTCGACAGTTAAAAAAAAAAAGATTAAAAAAAATGAAGAAGTAAATAACAATTCCGAAGCATGAAATGAACAAACTTCAATAAAAGTATATCTATAACATTATATAAAAGGAATACAAATATAGATAACTGCCATTTGGTCTCCACTTTTATTTATGATCTTTTTATCCTTAATAATACAATCAATTATTTTGTCTCTATATATAATTTTGAAATCCTTTATTCTTCACCAAACACTCTTTTAACCACATTATTTAAGTAACCGCCACTTTTACTCATTTTAACCGCATACATCTAAGCAACAGTATTTATTAGTCTCATTCTCACAATCCCGTCTTTCTTACTTCCTCTCTTTTTTGTTAAACCAACTTCATATCACTGCAAAATCTATTCTCCATTTTACAGTACATTTCCTTTATATTTTGTTTCCTTTGATGTTCATTGTTGCTAATTGTAAAGTAGCATTCCATTTTTTCAACATCAAGTGTTTATTTCCTTTATATTTTGTTTCCTTTGATTTTCAATGTTGCTTATTGTAAAGTAACATTCCATTTTTTCAACACTGAGTGTTTATCATATACGTAGATTATTCTGCCTCAATTTATTTTTTTAATGAATCAAATTAGTTTTAATGACATACAGATTTAAAACTGTGTAATAAATTTAAAAGACGACATCCGACACTGTTTGGGTTTTTTTTCCCTTCCTTTTCTTCTTTCTTTAAATAACATGTGATTGTGCGACTTATAAAAGTTTTGCACCATGGAGACATGTCCAAAACAACAAAAAGGTTCAATTGTAGTTTCAAAGTTTTTTGTTTTGTGATATTATTTGTTTCCAGATTTTTTTTTATTTGTAGTTAGATTTGCGATTTCAACGGATTTTGTTTTATTATTTCTTTTCATATTTTTTCAACAATATTTTTTTAAATAAATTCTACATTAAATTACTAACTATAGTATTTTTCAACTAAGTTATTTAATTTTAGTTTTTACAATGATTTTTTATATTTTTACAATGAATTTAAATTTATTCAACTTATTAAACATCTAAATTTAAGATATCCCTATTTTTCAAATTCATTTCTTTTATATAAAACTGCATAAATATAAATTGTTGTTTCAATAATTTTCAAATTCATTTTTAAACATTTAAATATATAATCATATTTTATCATAAATTAAATTTTAAAATTAGCCTAATTTTGAATTTTGAAATTTATATAATTTTTATGGGTTTTTTAATTACAAAAATTCAAATAACTAAATTTATATAATTTTTATTTGAAAATTTGATTTCTTTTCAGTTTTTTTCCAAAAAAAAATTATTAAAAAATTTACAATAAATTAGTACGTTTAGTCATTTTTTAATCTAAATCATGTTTACTCATTTTAAAAAAATTCAACTTAAACTTATTTATGACTTAACTAAAGATAAAAGAAATACAAAAGTTTTGTTCTCCACTTTAAAAAACAACCTCCATGTATTTGTTATTGATGGTTATCCAATTTAACACTTTTGTTGGTTTTTACAATAAAAATAAGACATAATTTATGTGAGACCCCACCTCCGTTTTCCCTTTTCTTCCCCAACCTTCATCACTTTCACTCATTCCTCTCTTATCTCACTCTCAATCTTCACTCTTTTCACTTGGACCTTCCTTTTGGCTATTACTAGGTGGTGGAGCCGAGTGAAGTGGGTTGCTAGCTGGTGTTGGAATTCTCTCTTCTCCTTTCTCGTGTTCAAGCTCCCTTTGTATTTCTCTTTGGTTTCTTCCCGACGCTCGGATCTTCGCACCGAGGTAAGGGAAGCTAGGTTTTTCGCTGTTTTTGGATGTAATGGAGTTCTAGGAGCTCATTAGCTGTTGATGTTGGAGGATTTTTGCTGAGAATGATGAAATTAAGGGTTTCGGGGTTTTTGGGTCTTTGAGAAAATTTTTGAGAAATTCTTGTTTTGTGGTTGCATGTGGAAAATGTAGCGTTTTTATTGATCTTTGATGAAAATGGGAACTTTTGGCTGGATTGCATGTTGGTTTTCTGTTAAGTTTTGCAGGATTTGGGCAATTTTCGAACTTGGGGAAGTTGCTGCTGAGTTTCGCGCTGGGCGCTGTTCTTCGCATCGGGCGCGTGACCACCAGGGGACTCTATTTAGGCAAGCCCGTCAGGCGCAAAGCTGTGTGCGCCGGGCGAGCTTGCAAATGGGAGTCTCTGGTTGGCCCACGCCGGGCGTGACTTGAGCTGCGCCGGGCGCGATATCAATGGTGACATACTTTGGGTGTTTTGGTGCCATGCTAGGCGCGCGTTTGGACTCGCTGAGCGCGGAGGCTCCTTTGGAGTCTTTGCCAAGAGGGCGCTGGGCGCAATGCGAATTGCGCTGGGCGCGAGACCTTGTTAGGTCTCTGCCTTCCCCACACTGGGCGCGGGTTAGGCCACGCCGGGCGCGTGAGACTCCTTAGAGTCTCTGCCTGGGCTTGCGCTGGGCGCAATTAATATTGCGCCAGGCGCGTGAGAGCTTTGAGCTCTCTGGCTGGGTCACGCCGGGCGCAAGTACCCTTGCACCGGGCGCGCTGGCCCCTGGTGCTCTCTGGTTGTGCCACGCCGGGCGCGACCATGAGTGCGTCGGGTGCGTATGATGATGATGATTTATATATCAATAGCTGTTAAACCTTGCTGAAATCTTAGATAGATGATGTTTAATGCTGAGTTAAGCTGAAAATTGTTGTTAAGCTGAAATAGATGAATATAGCTATGCTGAACTGGGTTGTTATTGATGATTTTAAATGTTGTATTACATGATATTGCGGTGCTCTAGAATGATGAGCTGAGTTGTGAGTAGTAGGCTGTGTTGAATACTACTTAGCCGTGTTGTATGCTGATTTGCTGTGTTGTGTTGTATATTGATGTGCTGTGCTGTGAGCTGTTTAGCTGTATGCTGTGTATGACAACTATGGTGGTGCTGTTTTAGCCGCTATGTCAGTGCTGTTATAGCCACTATTGTGGTGCTGTTTTAGCCGCTATGTCGGTGCTGTTATAGACACTATTGTGGTGCTATTATAACCGCTATGTTGGTGCTGCTGTTAGCCACTATTGTGGTGCTATTATAGCCGCTGAGCGGTGCTGATATTGCTGAATTGCTGTGGTGTAATATAAGCCGTGCGGATGTGCTGATAGCTGTAGATGTTTTCTATTCATATATTTATATATGTATGTTGATTTCTTTACACTAGCTTACCCTTTGTTGTCTCCATAATGTTTGGACTGCAATGATCATACTATGTATGGGAGCAGAGCAGGGATAGGTTGGTGGCTGATGGTGAGTCTGTAGCTGACAGACGAAGCTGATCTGATTTGGATCTTTTTGTTGTTTTAGTTACCGAGTAGAGTAACTTTGTTGTATTTTGTTGTATACTCTAACTTTAGTCGGATTAGGACCTTGTATATATATATTAGT